CAGTGTGTGTGGAATTAGAAAGTATGTCCCCTTAAAATCTTTCAGTTTGTGAACCACAGAAGAAAGTTGATACTATTTAAAAATTTTTTAATAGTTGGGCTGAATTCCACAGGCTTTTCTATTGTTAAAGTAAAAGAAACAGGCTAAAGTGGAGATTTCGGTCAAGCACCACCAAAACTTAATACCTAACCTAAAGGCAGTTTCAGCCTAGCCCCAAAGTGGAATTTGAAATCCACCAATCTGGAAAGTCCCTCCTCTGCTTTAGTCATCTAATCTGACTTCCCCAAAGGAAGGTGGTTTTGCCTGAAGTAGTTTCTTGTCCCACCCTCTTTCCTGAACAGAAAAACCTTTCATTTTGTACAACTCTGCAGCATTTTTCTATTTGCCAGGTGGGATGCTGTTTCACTGATGAGTAATTCAATAAAGTCAGTTTCTCTCTAAAATTGTTGAGATGAATTTTGCGTTTAATGCTCATGTTATCAATTACTATTTTGCTTTTCATGCACAGGAATATATCAAAGTCTGGTCATTACTTTATGATCTGTGGACCTTTGCCAAACACATTTTCAGACTTAAGGCATTGCATCTTCAGTCCCCTCTACTTAAAATACTCTCCCACTGATCAAGTGCTACCTTTAAAGTCACCTCCATTAACCCGTTGTCTCCAATATGACTGACTACCCATTATTCTCTCTAGCTATCACAGTACTATGTTTACAGGATATACCATTGGACATATTATGTTTACTTATATCTCCCTTGGAGGCTTATGGTGGGGGCGGGGGGAGGAAAGTCACTGTTGTATCCCGAATGCCTTAAATGAGTATGCGTGCTCCAAAGAAACAGAAAGCATTTGTCAACATGGGACCCACTTCTGATATTTTCAAATAAACTCTAATTTCATTTGGAACTAGACCCTATAAATAGAAGTAGCTATTAGAAATTAATCCGTTAATTTCAGCGTCTAGCAAAATTTGGGAACTCAAGCTGTTCCTGTCCTTAACCAAAACTGCCACGCTTTTGAAAAGTAACTGGTGCATTCACTACTGCGCTATCAAGCCTGAGATATGTAACGTTAAGATAGTTACAAAAGCGTCAAGATAGGGCTAGTTCGTCCCATCAACCCTCCAAATGGTCTTTAGTCAGTCAGGTATTTAGGGTTACTGTTAAAAAAAGAATTGCTCCACCACCTTTGCTCAAAGGAGTGCCTCTAATGATATTTCAAAAAGAGAAAAGCAAAGCAGATTGTGCGTACCAACTCTTTCTTGACACTGTAGGTGGCTCTGAAAAGAGCCTTTGTTTTCCAGCGTGCCTAACCTTGCTCCTTATTTGGCCTTGTGGTGGCTCTCGGTCTTCTTGGGCAGCAGCACGGCCTGGATGTTGGGCAG